GGGAGGAAGAAAAAAAGTGCCGCTTGAGGTGCGGCGGAACGGTTCGAGAAAATTCTGAGAACCAGTTCTGGTTCTGACACCAAACGTCTTGTTGTCTACTGGTTGGTCGTTAGTGCTTCGGAGCTTAACAGCAAGTGCACCTTCGCTCCTTTGCAGTATCTCCGGCCGGTGTTCTCGTACTCAAGCATGGCTTTGTGTTTTTTTTGGCCACGAGAGACCGCGCAAAATGTTAGAGATTTGAATTTTTACTTTTCACGCACCCGATTTACCGAGTGGTGATCCATGTCGGATCATGTACATTGTCAACGGCTGCTTCACATTGGTCGCCCGAGGGAAGGGATTGCTGTACCCTTCTCGCGATAAAAATACATCAGGCAGGAACCGCAGGAGGGGGTCCAGCCCCCTCCTCCTACGTGACCCCGGTTGGGTCGTCTAGCTGGTAGAAGTGGAGGATAGGGGCCAGAGGGGCAGACGACAGAATCCGATGATGGGAGAAAATATATATTAGTCTATTCAATAGAAAAAATGTGAAATCGTCGCACCGAGGTTCATTCAGCGTCGCACCGAGGAACACCAGTTATCAGTACATATCACTGTCCCGGCGGAGACCAAACGCTACCCTGATGGCTTTTCCTTCCACACATCGCGAAGAGTTCCCTGAACCTCCCCGCGCGGCTCGGCTCTCCGGCTCTGTTGAGTTTCATGAGTAATCGAATGAACGGTCTTCGAAATAAGGTACTGCGTCTCACGGTACTCGCCACCCCTTCCCTTCGCGTACAAATACAGATAGCGCCCGCAGTTAAGAAAAATTATGCTAAGAAAAAAGGCTCAAGTTTGTACGAAAAATAACAAAAAGGGCTTAAGAAACATACATACCTCAATCTCGGCCACAACGAACGTAAGAAACGCCCCGATAGCAAGCATGATGGTGCGATACCCCCATGACGACATCGGAAATCTGCGGTGCTCCCACCCCCCTCCCACGCTGAACAGAAGCGCATTTTTTTTTCTAGGGGGCAGAGCACCCCGCCCGCCCCTCCCCCCGCGCCCCTGCTGTTCACAGTGAATGCTGTACTGTAGTACTGCCACACATCGCGGACAACCATATGCTCTCCGCTGTTGTACGGGTTCGATGCAGTCTCCACCACCTCTCATGAGGAACGGGGGAATCGGGAGGATGCGACAGTCCAAAGGAAGAAAAATGCCATTCACGAAAATGGACGACTTGGGCCGGTACTTCGACCCAAAAGAAGGGATTGAAGCTCGAAGCGATTTTGACGTTTCTTAACTGTAGGATCGAACGTCCTCCAAGCGAGAGATAACCTCGCCCTCGGTGAGGGACGAGGATATGCACGACTGGTTTTTTGGCGGTATCAGATGGACCGCCGGTAGATGGGAGGAATCTATCCATACCAACACCCAGTTGTAGCTTCAGCAGCAGACCGCTCGCGACTTCTGCTGTCTGTACGTTGCTACTTCTGCACTCACTGTGGTGCGTGGTTCGTGCAAAGAGCGGCCCGCAGGCCCACAGGACACAAAAAATGGGAGTACGCGGCAGAACAAATGGGGTACCCCCATTATCATATATTCTTCCGGGCCCCCTGATGCTCAGCAAAACAAGCTTCCATTAAGCGGGGAGTTTCCTTAACGCGAGCGTCCTTAGAGCGGGGTCGACTGTACCGGCACAAGCTTTTTCTCGTGCCGGGTCTCCATCAAGAGGAACCATACACTCGCGTTCGCGAAACAGCTAATGAGGACAATGCGCCCAGCCTACCTACGGAACGGAGCTACAACACCCCTCGGAGACAAAAGCAGTCCCTGTTAGTAACATAGAAACCTCTGATCGCTTTTGATCCCTACGACAGCTAGTGCCACGAGAGACTAGTGAAACGGACAGGAATGGAAAGCACAACTGGCTTCAGGCAACACAAACGACTGGGATTCAGCGATAACCACCACAAAAACAAAAAAAAACATCCATCCCCCTCGGACCCAAAGCCAAACTATTGCAGAGAATCAGACTACATGATCTCAAGACACCACATGGCAACGCGGCATATCGTGTCCAAATCATTCGCCCGTACGAGACAGAATCGAGACGGCTTCCTCGGCTAAGCTTGCTAAGTTATCGGGAAACTACTTGTTGCGCAACCGGAAGCCAGCGGTCGCCTCTCCGGCTACTGTAGACGAACACGACAACAGAATCTCGCACCCACACCAGGTCACGCCCTGCGCAGCAGTGGCGTGCGGCATTAGCGCAAAAACGACGGTGGAAGGGGAGGCGGGGGTGCTCCGGAGAAAAAAAAGGACAGGACAGCCGGCAACTGAAAGCAAAAAGTTATCTACAGCTTTCAACAAACCACGCAATAACGGGTTTTCCTGGGCCAGAAGAGTGCCGTGGACACAAGGGGTCCGCTGGCAAGCAGCAGCCGACAGGTGTGGCAGGGCGGCCGCCGCGCCTGACTACTCAAGCATCCCGGACCCCAGCGGCTGCTCGGGGCAGGCGGCCTCTATTCGCTTGCAGAGCTCCGACAAGAACTCGGCCTGCACTCTCTGGGCCATGCTGCCGTTCTCCTGCTGCAAGATCACCCTCTCTACCGCCACCTGTTGTCGTGTTTCGCGCACACGGGCAGGGGGCGGTTGGCACAAGAGCGTTCGTCGTCATCTATCCCTGCGCAACGTGTGTGTGTGTGTGTCACAACACACCGCACTACCCATGCGCACCAAGCAACGTATGTGCACGCATCATCACAAAACACACCGCAGTACTCTTTGAGGCCGGAAGGAAAGGCCAAGGGATGTGAAACACATGCACGCACACGGATGTGGAAGTCAACAATGTAGTTCCTGCTCTCCCTATTTGCGTGTGCGCCCTCGTGCACCATTGGGCCGGCCTCGAATAGCGCAGAAAAAACGCAAAAGAAGACCATATGGGCAGTAGCAAGATGTGGCAAGTTTGCCCTCGTGCAACGTCGTCGACGAAAAAAAACTCCTCCGCGAGAGACAGTAGTACAGCGGAACGCAGTGCGATATGTGTGGTGGAGCCGCCGGACCTGTATAACCCGCACACCGCCCGTTATGGCCGGTGCCCACTGTGGTCGAGCGGCGGCCGCTCAGGTAGCGGCCGACGCTGCTTCTTCCTCCAAATCTCATGCGAAAACGACCCGCTTCTGACCTCATGCGCGACCGGCAAAACCACCGTTCAGCCGCCCCCCTCGCCGCCCCCCTTAGCAGGATGCAGCGCAACTCTCGCCGAACACCTCACGGCAATCCGCGCTTGGTCATGTGCTATTCATTACCTGGTCCGGTGGAAAACCTGGCATATCCCTCTGTCCCTGCTTTTGTAGGGATGCGAGGCCGAAGGACTAACGACTACGGCATGCACGGCGATGAGCACACATACCCCTCTCGCCTCCTCAGCCCAACGACCCTACAAACAAATCCACCTCCCACCTGGATGGCCCCCAAGAGCCCGTCCTTCGTAACGCCCCCGGTCATGCCTCGCCCCACGGAAAGGCCGGCCAGCACACCGTCCCACTTGTCGGCGTCCATGCTCAAGATCTCCTCCAAGAGAAGCTGGGCGGGGGTGCGCTTCTTGGGCGCGGCGGCGTCGGCCTCGGCGGTCTCGCCGGTAGCGCTGGGTTCGGCGCTGCCCAGGAGAATTTCTTGAGACGCATACATCTGGAGGATCTGCGTGTAACGGAACAACAGGGCGGGGACATAGTATTGAAATGTTGCAGAAGAGGGCGGGGGGGGGGAGAGTAGTTGGTAAGCGTGCCGATTTCGACGTTGTACGAAGTTCGATCGAGAGACGCGGCAAGGGTTACATGCAGGTGGAAAGGGCTAGGTTTGGCCTTCGGGGTATGACAAGTATCCTGAATCTCCACAGAGCATATGTTCCCGGTGCTCCCTGCAGATGAATGATCGCTCCTTTCGAGCTCGCCGTGGTCAGCGCATCATAAAATTCTATTCTTCTCGCCTCCGGAAAGTCAGTCATAGCTATTCGTGTCTAACACATAGAGAGAGTGTTGTCCATAAACCTTGCACACGGCCTTCCGTAACCCCCAGAGTGCACGAACATTACACAGCATACCGGCAGCATACTGCCGTATTCCAGCAAACGCTAAGCGCGGATGGGAGGAAAATTGTATCATCCACGGCACGCCATGCCCTCAAGAACGCATACCCGGAACAAGCCCCAACTTGCGTCCTGCCGCGTCTCCTTTTACAAACCGCCCAAGAAAAAAAAAACAGAAGTAACTCCGTTCTACATACAACAACGTTGAGCGACCCAGCGAAGAAGCGGCTGTTCATGCACCACAGCACTCTACAGACAAAGGATGTACCGCCCCGCCTAAGGTCGCTTTCTGCCTCATGGTTGCACCCGAGGTCGCGGTGTTACCGTGCGGCAAAGGGTTTACATGCATGAGTAGAACATGCCAACAGACAGAAAATACGAAAATACGAAGCGAAAATGCAGCACGGAGCCCATGCCCAAGCACGTCTCAAAGGTCTACCGAATAAGTCACGCCAGCCCGTGAAACGGCTGCAAAACGCTGCTGCCGTAGATACCTTCTGAAGGATGACGACCATGCCTTGCATCTCCTCCTCCTTGCTGCTCTTCTCCATCCACGCTTGGACGGTAGCCTTTGGCAGGGGAGGGAGGAACGTCGAGCGGATGATGGCAAGCGTTTGTTGATGCGAGGGTGGCGATATTCCAACGGATGGTGTGGGATACATGTAGGATTTTTCGGTCATGTTTGGGGTGTTAAATCAACGTTGGACTTCAGGATATCATGAAGTTGCATTCTCTCTTGTATATCCAGATGGTGTATACCCATTTGCAATGCGAACCCAGGTGCTACGTTTTGTTGAGGTCGTGCTTTGCACCAGGTGATTGCGTGGTCGGTGGTTGCGCAAAATTGACGTACGAACGCAGAAACATGGAGCCGCCAGCACCGGGCAGAGCCTAGGGCTGGTTCCCACAAAACAACTCCCGTTACATTCCGAACAGTAACATTGTTGGACCTCTCAAGTGAAAGCTGTGCGATACGGATGGGGGGGGAAACGATAAAAACCTGCGATAAAAACGTCTTGTGGTGAGAGACAGACACACATACAGGAAAAGATGCGCAGACGGACGCTACGGAATGGTGTGTCGCCTGCTTTCCCTTTGCAAGTAATGTGAAGACAACAACAGCAACAGCAACAGCAACAACCTCTCAATCAGGAGACTGGACCATATCATCCAATCTCGTCCGCGGCCACCCTGTCGGGGGAGTTCGCTCAATAAAGAAAGCGCGTTCGCGAATTTACCAACGACCTCTCATTGGTCAGCCGCTAACGCAGTCGATCCCAATCAACGAAACACACACAACACACGCAAACAAGGAAGGAGACTCAGCCCGCTGGCTAGAAAGAAAGGGCGCTAGCGAATTGAAAAACGACCTCTCAATGTTCAGCCGGTTAGCTCGGTCGATCCCAATGAAAGGACACACGCAAACAAAAAGGAGGAGACTCAAAACACTACAAAAGAGACTTATTCTGTCGTGTCGCACGAGGAAGTTGTTGTCGAGCTGGTCTCGATGAATCTTGATACTTTGGCGCAGCGCGATCAGGCGTTCCTCGGAGAGGGGCACCAGAAATTCTCCGTTCTTCTCGGCGGCGCTGCGGAAACAAGACGCGCACACAACAAGACGTCAATGAACAAAACACACACACACACACCCGCTGGCACTGACGTCTTTAATTGGTCAGCCGGTTAGCGCGGTCGATGTTAATGATAAAGAAAAACACACACACAGCGTGGAGTTCAACAAGGCTGTAATCTGGGAGGGTTCGGCTTCTGTGCAGGACTCCTTAATATCATGAAAGAGGTCAACAACAAGCCATCTGTGCCAGGATTCAAACTCATCGGATACGGCCTCCAAGCACATCTTCCACCAGGTTTGGCTAGGAACATGCAGGCCATATCCACTGTAACGAATTGGATTCAGGAACGTCTCTCCCGACTAGGGATTGAGCTCAGTCTCCCGAAATCCAAAGTGCTTTTCCCGGAAGTTTTTTGCATGTCCTCTTTGACAAACGACGAACAGCAATAGTTGACGAAAATTGGTCTGCCAGTTGCTGAAGGTGGCATGCCAGTAGGGACAGAAGAGTTCCAGCGGAATTTCATTTCCATTTTCGCCCGTGGTGACCCGGCGGAATTGATACTCCGCCTAGCAACGCTTGACGACCCTCAAGCCAGCTATCAACTGCTGCGTTTATCTGGTGTGCCACGTCTGTTGTATCTGCTGAGGACGATTGCACCGTCTATCACCAACTCTGCCGCTAGAATACATGACA